TGCTAGTTTGGTTCATTATGTGAAATTGTTTTGTCCTTGCATTTGACTTCCTATTTTGAGTTGAAGCAATGAGGTCATTGCCTCATTTTAAGTGTGGGGGAGTCTATTTGGATTTTGCATGCTTATGTGGTGGGCCGGGCTAGTTTAGGTTTTTGTGTTGTTGAGCATGGTATTGGTGAATTATATGATTTGTTGATGGATATTTGATGAAATTGGGAAGTTGTGATGACGATTGTGTTGATCATTGCCTCGATATTCCTTGATTGCTTTGAGTGACATTTATTTACCTTGTGAGGTTTTGATCCTTACTCTTTCTTTCTTGTGAGATATTGGTCATATTCTTGAATGATTAGAACTTGCCTTGAGTTTGTTTGAAAGGAATCTATTAGAGTTTGAAATTGTGAATGTGATTGAGGCGTTTTGTTTGAATAGCTCACTACTGCCTTGTTCTTTGGTCCTATTTATTATTCCACTAGTAGCCCGTTTGAGCTTAAAACCTTTTCTTGTCAGCCTGTTGACTGATTTGTGTGATGATTGGGTGATTGGTGGCATTTCTGAATATGGTGGACATTGAGTTGCATTTTGTTTTCTTGACAATTTAAAAAAACAAAAAGACAAAAAAAAAAGAAAAGAAAAACTTTGAGAGTTCACAAGAAGAATCGAATGGATTCTGCTCCTCTTACTAGTCGATTCATTTTGACAGGTAATGAGCATTAGGAAACTACTGTAGGAAACTTGGATGACCTCCAATGTTCACACCTACAGAATGTTGTCCTTTTGATTCAATCTTGTTGGGAAAAAGTTACTCTCCAAATAAAAAAATAAAAAAAAAAAAAGAGAAAAAGAAAAAATAAGGTTAAGTGATGATGTTGCAACTTGTTCTGAGCATCTATGTGTTGTTTGTGGAATGTTGGTTGGGTAGTAAGTGTGTTGTCATGATTATTCTGGATGAGTGGCGGAGAACTCGAGTAATCTATTTGCTCGAGAATTGTGATTGTTTATTTGAGCTTCTTTTCCTTTATATATCCTTACCTTGAACCAAATAGCCTACATTACAACCCGTGAAGTCCTCTTGATTCGCAACTTTTGAGCTTTGATTGTTTCTGAGTAATTTAAACGATTGGCAAGCATATGTTGAAACTTGAATATTGACCAATCTGAGCGATCCTATCATATATTCATGTAAAAGAATGAGTGAGGCATGTACTAATATTTCTGTATTTGAGAGTTTGTCATTTTGAGGCCAAGTTGATATTTGAGGCATATGGTCGTACAATCGTTGGAATTCAACCCGGTTGAGTTAAATATTTCTGAGGCTTTTCTTGTATGAAATCGATATTCATGCTCGTGTCTTGTTTTCTTTTCTTTTGTTTTTGTTCGGGACGAACAAAGGTTTAAGTGTGGGGGAGTTGTTTGTCCCATTTTTGTTACATTTTTCGTGTCTATTTTCTCGTTCTTTTTCTCCCATTTTGAGTCACTTGTGTGGTTTTAGAGTCGTTTTGTCGTTTATTTCGTGTTTCGCGTCTTTGTGAGTATTTCTGTGTTTTTCCGGTTTTCTTCGTCTTTTCTTTCATTTTTTGTGTGCAGGTCGGAAGCTTTGGGAGGACAAGTTTTCAGGAAAATATGTGCTGAGATTACATAGTTAGATAGAGGGGTTCGTTAGCTACGCGTAGGAAAAAACGGAACTCAATTCCGAGTTCAAACGAGCCCAAACGAGCCCGAAAAGCAAAGTCCAGCAGGCTGCCCAGAACCTTAGCGCCGCTAAGGCACCTTAGCGGCGCTAAGGCACACAGGATAGCGGCGCTACACGTTACTGGCTCGAACGGCTAAGGCACCTTAGCGGCGCTAACCCCCCTTAGCGGCGCTAAGGCCCCCTGCAAGTCCGAGAATGATTTAAAAACCCCAAAAACTCGTTTTCTTCTCCATTCTTTCACTTCCAACTTGAAGGGGGAGGAACCCTAGGTCCGAAAATCGCCTCCCCCCTTCATTTTCCTTCTTCTTCTTCTTCTCTTCTCCTCTTCTCCATCTTTCTTCTCCATTTTTCTTTCTTTTCCATTTTAGGGATTAAGCTTGTATTTTGGATTCAACTTTCGGATTGGATTGATTGTAAGTATTTTTCATCACGTTTAATTCATGAGAATGATTATTTGGGGTGAAATGCTTTCTTGTGTTGAATTCATGTTACTTAGCTAAATCTTATTGTTAGGGATAGGGGATGATTGTTCATGTTTCACGTGTATTTGTCGGGCTTGAATTGTTCATGCTTATGTGAGTTAATCTGATTAGGAATTGATGTAATCTTGCTTGATTGATTGATATAATCGAAGAGTGACACTTTGATCTTGCGATTGAAAACAATTGAATGTTAATTTGTTGAGTTAGGGTTTGTCAGTTCTATATGATTAGTTGATTAATCACCTTCTAGTTAATTAGCGACTTTCAGAACCGAAAGGGGAGAAGTCGTAGACCTAGGCTTGCATGAGATAGATTATTTCGTAACTGAGTAATCTATGGGTTGAGATTGAAATACGTGCTTGTCGATGTCCCGTCCCTTGTTACGAAAAGTTATTGGGATTGGGATAATTGGCTTGTGTTGTATGCTCGAGTTTGTTGGTCTATGTTCAATCCCTTGTTACGAAGAGTTATTGGGAGCGAACCTCTAGATGTTTAAGCGAGAGTGTCAATCTCGAACCGAACGATTAATTGTCCGGCTTTGCTAGAACTTGAATTAATTATCCCCGATTCCCTAGTTTCTCCATCTTTGTTCCATCCACATTTTTAGGTAGATTATTGCTCTTTATTGTTTTTTAGACAGTAATTATTCAAACCCCTTTTTTGATTAGAGTGTTTAGGATTTTGTTTTCTTTTTATGTGTTATCATTACCAAAGCTAAATTCCGAACCGCCTTCCTCGAGAGATCGACCCGGGAAACGAATCTTTGATTCGGTACTCGGTAAAATATAACAATTTGTACACAACACAGCTCGATGGAGCAATTAGAGTGATTAGTTCGAGTTAATCGGTCTAGGCTAATCTTAGTTTGGTGACAGGATTTGTCTTTGTCAAGAAGCTCGATACAGTAGCTCGAGCTACAAGTCAGTTCTGACTATGAGGTAGAGAGTCGAGCTTATCAGAGAGCTCGGTCATACGAGGTGACTATAACGACCTAGAGGTTGGTGTTAAGGTTCGTGTGATGTCGCTTAACGAGCTGGTAAGAGATGTGGTGGACTATCAATAGGACAATACTACAACCCAAGGACCCAATAGAATCCAACTAATAAGGGTATGGATAACTTGATTCTAAGTAAGAGCTCACATAGACGTGTCATAATATAAAATGAGATATATGAAGATTACTTTCATAATAATGAAGCAATGTGCGTAATAAAACAAACTCTTTAGAAAAGGATGTTCTTAATATGATGTTTTTTTAATATTTTTGTTTTGACATCATATTGCATATAAATATAAAAATTAATATTTTTTATTTATAAATAAATATTAACTCGTCAATCAAATAATAATAAAAATGTCAAATTTATCTATTAATTTATTTCACATTATATTATTATTGTTTTCAAACTATGACTATTGTGTTCTTCTATGACAAAAGGTACCTATACATATTCTTTTGAATATAAATATTTTTCTGTATCTAGATTAGTACGAATCCAGGCTATTTCGTGAAAAAATAACAAATAAAAACGTGTAAATAATTTATTATTGTAAGAAAAGAATACAACTATTAAATTTTCAATCCATCGTACTTTTACTTAATTTATTATATTTCATTTTAAATTAATCAAATACGAATGCATAAATTGTCTATTTTTTTATATGAAACAATAAAAAGTATAGATTAATTTTTTATTTAATTTAATTTATATTTATTTTATTGTAGGGGCAAATACACAAATTTTGATTAATACAAGGATTATAAATAAAACTCGTAAAAGTATAATGGTAATTTACTAATTGTAGAAAGTAAGAATTGATCATTTTCGCAGCCTACTTAGATGGAAATAGGAAAAAGTGTACAACCTTTACAAAAATTCTATGGAGCTGTAGGATAGTTTTTTTATGGAGTCATCCACTACTTAATGTATTGACACCTGTCTAAATTGTATTTATTGTAGGACATGTGTCAATACACTATTGGTGAATAAGTGTGAATGACTCCATAAGTCGAGTCATCATCGGATGGCTCCATAGCAAAACTGACAACCTTTATTAGTTGAATTAGTACTCTTTTGCACATGCAATGCACGAGTAAGGTAAATTTATTAAATAAAGTTTAAGTTCAATAAAAAATAAAATAAAATATTTAGGTATATTTATAATCATAAAATATACATATAACATTTTATAAATATACTTAGAATATTTTACTTATGTATATGAATAAATATATAAAATATATGTTTTACAAATTTAAGAGTTGTGACAAATTAATCAATTAAAAAAATATTAAATTACTATTACTATAGCAATTGATTATAAAATTTTAAAGGGTTTAATTTGCTATGTCATTAAAATCAATTAGTTATTTAAATAATGAGACAAAAATAAAATGAAATACTAATTTAAAATAAATAATTTGAAGAAAACTTTTTATTACAAAAAAATTATGAGTATATAACTTTCCTAAGCTTTTTGTGTGAATTTATAATAAGTTAATGTTGGTAGTAATTATTATATAATATATAAGTTACAAGAAAATATTATTACAATTAATAAATCTAAAATATAACCGTAAATTTTCATAACTAAATAAAAAAGTGAAAAAATAACATTATTGATAGTCTACAATTATATATGTAAAATTATTAATAAAATTTATTGTTCATCATTCAACTAGTCTGGATCCGGGCTTAAAAGATCCATCCACATGGCCCATATCGATGAATTATCGGCCCATTTTCATACTAAGAAACGGGTCGAAGCCCACACAGAGCTGCTCCTTATCACACTCATCCAAACACAGTGTAATACGCCGACTCGCCAGTCACCATCGCCTAACAGCTGAAAATCAACGAATCACTTCAATTTTTCATTTCGCATTTTCTCAGTGGTGAAGAAGAAAAAGAAAATATGGGCCGGAAAAAGGGGGTTCACCTGGTGCACGACGGACCGCCGGACGATTTCGACCCGGAAAACCCGTACAAGGACCCGGTGGCCATGCTCGAGATGCGTGAGCACCTCGTCAGGGAGAAGTGGATCGACATCGAGAAGGCCAAGATCCTGCGGGAGAAGGTCCGCCGGTGCTACCGCGTCGAGGGGGTCAACCACCTCCAGAAGTGCCGCCACCTCGTCCACCGCTACCTCGACGCCACCCGCGGCGTGGGATGGGGCAAGGACCACCGCCCGCACGCCCTCCATGGTTGGGTTTACGATCTAGCGTTGTTCTCCTCGACGGTGTATTTTTTGAGATATGAATTGATTTGGATTTTGAATTTTTTTTTGGTGGGTTTGTAGGTCCGAAGGTGGAGGCGCCTGATGAGTGACTTGGTGGAGTTGCAGATGGGAATATTATTTGAGGTCCTATCTCTACCTATCTCGTGATTTCTTTTACTGTAATTTCAACATTGAGCTTAATGTTCCATTGTTTAATCGTAAGAATTGCTAGTGTCATTTGTGTGATTGCCTTTCTCTCTCTCTCACTCGTATTTGGTGTAATCTTGTGTCACTTTTTTTATCATATTGCTAGTTTTTTCATTGTGTGAGTAGCTAGTTTCTCAGTTGTGTGATTGCTTTTACAGTGCATTTGGATTGATCTTGTTATTGCTCTAACAGTAGTTTGAGACCTTCCATTTCCTCAAATTGTGATGTGGGCCTCTAACATGCGAGGCTATAAGATTGTATAGCTATGGCAACATATAGTGTTTGCTTATATGTATTGATTTTTTTCGAAATCGTATTCATTCTCCAAATTAATTGCAGAGTGATTTCCTATCAGACTGCGTCTATGTTAAAATTGTTGAAAAACCAGCAACTTATTTATGTAATTGTTTAAAAACCAGCAACTTATTTATATATGTTTAGACTCTGGCTTTTGGTGACGGGAGGGAATGGAAGATGGGAAGTTCAACTTCAAACATAAAACATAAGGTGTCATTCAAGCGAGACATGTTATACATTATTTTTTTCTCACATAATGCAAGCATCATTCATTACATCAATGCTTCATACATATGTCACACGCTGATGCTATATGTACTCCTGGTTCTCTATCTATTTTATTCTCCCAGTTTGATTNNTTTCCAATTTCGTTTGGTGGCTATTCATGATCTGCCCGATGCAATCATTTGCACATGCATATATTTTATTTAATCTCCTTAGTCTATTTATATTAGCAGCATATTAACAATCACAGGTTGCGTGTGGTTTTACAATAACCTTTTCCCGATTAAATAATTTCATATTCAAATAGTTGTTGATTTATTATGATGTGAATATTTGAAGCCAGCTTAAAGCCCCCAACCCCCAACCACCCGTCACACACACAGACAACTTAGCCTCTGGTCAATTAGAAATGGAACTCTTCAGAACATGTACATCAAATAATTCTTTTGTGAATGATTGTATGTATGTGGCAATAACTCTTCTTTATTTTGGTTTACTTCTTCCCTGCAGGCAATCAAGTTTACTGCAGATAATGCATGTGGAGAGTTTCTGGATGTTAATCAGGTGTGTTCGTTAGGTTACTAGCCTTTTGCTTAGTTAAGTGTTACTCTCAAATGTATGCCTTTAGTGTGGTCCAGACATTAGAGGCCGGGTTGTAGAATCCACCTTTTCACCTTCTGTACTTGTGGAAGTGATGCTTTATATCAAATAATAAAAGACAGAATGATGTCACTAATTCTTTTCTGCCACATTACTGTTGTTGACTTTGTTGATTAATGGTTATTGTGCTCCTCACATTCTTGATACTTTGAAAGGGTAAATATAAGCTATTTATATGAGTCTTGTTGAGTTCATATTTTTAATTCAGAGGGTAGCTTACCTCAGTATTGTGTTTCT